TGTATGTTTGTCAGCACAATAGTGTGACACACCTGGCTTTCCTCTTACATGAAGCTGATATTTCGTGATATAACTGATATACTGTTCAAATCAGTGTTACACTTCACTCACTCACTCACTCACTAACTCACTCACTCAATCACGTGTCTATTTGACACTTGCCTATTCATGTTCTGTTTGCAATGTGCAATATGTGTGTCACTAAAATGTGCTGGATCTACTTCGCCTTGAGATACGGACTGTAAGAAATGGATTGCATGAGGGGTACTTAGGTACAGTTATTATAGTCTCGCAAATCATTTCCTGTACTTCATGCAAATCACTTCCTTTATATAAATGTGAACACATGTCAATCAGTCCTTGTATTGCAATCACTGCCGTTAAGTAAATGTGCTCACTCCCGAATCAGTTGCTTTGTAGGCGACTCTTCAGGAAATAAAAAGGGTGATGATAGTGACAGGATATTGTGTTACCTCTGACATTATTCTGATCGTGGACAGTCTCTGTTCTTCCAGGTTTAAAGCTGTGTTGACCTTTCTGTTTGTGCCACCTGCCATGAGAAGATAATGATGAGGATTTCTTTATCTGGACAGGTTATTCTTGCCCGTAATATCTCATATTGGAATGGCCTTGTTTTAACCACCTTTTAAAGACTAGTTATTTGTGAGTGTTTTAAACATTTGTCAGCAGGGTACAGTAAGAAGATCAGGCTATAAAATGGTTACCAATTCGAAATATAACATTATCCGTTAAATACTCCATGTTCCAAAGCTAATGTAATATAGTGTTTTATGTTTTGATATTCAACATCATGTTTGTTCTTCTCCATAACAAATACCGAATCACAACGAGAATATATATTCCTACCTGTTTCAACTCATTTTTGCGACAATATTGTATTCATTCCTTTTCTACAGACACAATAGTTGTATTCGGAAATGGTTTCCTTATATTATGGTTACTTTGTAGTTAAATTACCCTAAATTACTCTACTATTGCACTTGTACAGCTAGGTTACGTTCAATTGCTGTCCGCGTTTCAATGTGTACTCTCAGTCCATCACATAATTATATATGTTGTTTGTTCTGGTGTTCAACTACAAAGCATTTGCTGAATGTGGTAAGTTCGAAAAATAAAATAGCTCTCACGACTGTACTGTAGAAGCAGTCATGGGTTTTTGAGAATCATTCCGGCTTATCAATGTACTCTGAATATTATATTGGTCCACGCAAGTGAACCTGTAATGAGTAGTCCAAATATTCGACTCTTGCAGTCGTGAAATGTATATACATGTAGGCACGTTCCTGAAGACTGTTACTGTTTACAAAGTATAACTTCTACAGGCAGCAGTCTGAGCTGAAGGTGTCACATTTGTATTTTGTGTTAAGATTTTCTATATTTGTACAACTAACATGTTGATCGTGAGTTAACAGTCTTTAAGTGTTGTAGATACTGGCCGCACCCCAGTCTGTTGGGCGGACAGTCACGCACTTGCCCAAATGTCTCCTGGTCCACACCAAATCAATAATCTGGCTTCTTGCTACAAGCTTGCTGTTGAGGATGTACCTTGTCCTGTCACCTCTGCCGCTGAACAGACCGCAAGCCACCGAAGATTATCATTATCTGTCAGCACGACCGACCTCTACATCTCCAGGTGCTCACAACCACCGCATACAAGCTGTGACTACATCAGTATATAACATCTGTACATCTACAGCGACCAGTCAACACTCACGCAGTGTCCAGAAAAGTCTATCTCTCGCTTCGACATCCCAGCCGAGGGCCATACGGTGTGAGCAGGCCATGTGTTCAGATATTAACTTTTCTGTTAAGGCCTCAAACACGTTGGACAGCGTTCAGCCAATTGACTTTTCGAAACAGGAAAGGAGCCAGTGGATTCGATAGGGACCAGCGACACATGAACTTTCGTGAATGGTTGTGCCATATTTTGGCCATGTACAGTGACATATGACATTGATGAATCACTTTTAATTAACTATATATTGTACTTGAATAATATATCGTCATGTTTATGCTTTGTAATTATACGAATTAACATAGGATCATTTCTAATATTCTCTAGCATGTCAGTACATTTTGACTATATTTTATTATAAATTGGTTACAATTAAATATATGGAATGATCGATCCTATTTTACTTCTATTGTGTTTATTGTGATTGTATTTTAACATATCAGATCTCACCTAGTGTTTACTTGATCCGAGTTGTGACAGCTCTTGTCCACAGGCGGAGGTTGTTATAAGGTAAAAATGTATCCCCAAACCCTCGACAATTACAACAAAATCAACCTTTAAATTCATGATTATAGCTTTAAAAACGATGGAGACAGAAAGCTGAAGTGTTGGCGCAACAAGCAGGAAATCAATAGGGCGATGACAGTAACAGGACATTTAGGGATAGCTTCGGTGGTGTCGTCGCCAGTTAATCAAGGGACATTTGTAATCGTTAAGTAAGTTCCGGTAGTTTGCTGATCACGACACAAACACGAGTCCATGGTCTGATATTGTCTTAACCACTTAAAATCATCTATGAGGTCATGTGACAAAGACAGGCCATTTCGTCAACATAAGAAGAGGAGAGCGCGGTGTGATCGTTCTAAGTTCTCCCCACTTAGTGATGACCCTGACCGGTCTGATCCTGTCGTGTATTGATGTATGCACTAAGAGGAAGTACAACTAATGCGAAAATACAGCTGGTGTTGCGTTTCTTTATTATGCGAGTATAATTGCCGTTGGAGACAGTTCAGAGAAAGTGTCTGAGACTTGACTGAGACGAGCCGATGCTGACAAGTCGAGCTGCAAAGTTTAACTGACCATGTGGACAAGGAACGACAACGTGTTTAGGTAACTGTAGTCGGGTCCCACTTGACGCCCTAAAGCAGTTACGACAACACGAGAAATGGGAATCACACATTCAATCTATATGTTGAATTGAACCTGGGTCTTAGGCGTGACGTTGGTTCGCCCCGATTATGTTTCTAGGTTTGTCAGCACCATACCCGTGCTCGTGGGTTTCACCGAAGTGGTAAACGTCTTAGACCTGCATCACTTTGGGCTTTCCTCCCACATTAAGCTGACGTGCCGTGATGTAACTGGAATACTGTTCAAAGCGGCGATAAACCCAACTCACTCACTCACTCACTTAGGGGTGACGAGTGAACACTTTAACCACTAGTCTACCGCGCCACCTTCTTAAAAAATGAACCCATCCAAGAAAGAGATGAATTAGAACCTTGTAGAATGTGCATACAAGTGCATAAGTGTAATTGTTTCCTTAAAAGCAGATTACAGTCATCTTTACTTGAAACTAATCGCAAACCAACATGTGAAAATAATTTCCTTTCAGTTGCCCGCGATCTCTTTCGCCTTGGTTTTCAATTGTGTCGTGTAATATTCTTTCTTGACAGGAACATTAAATATACATCTGTGATATATAACTAGTTATTTTATTGTCATTTGATGACAGGATGTTAGAAAATATCAACGCATTACTTTTTCCAGAAACTTTACAACTGAATTATCTGCGACGTGACTTAAATCACTCTCACTTGAACTTTGTACGTTGTCTCAACTTCCTTTGGGGAGTTATTTTCCTTTTAATGCATGTATTGAGCTATATCAAGGTCGTGTATATTCGAAATTGAAATACATTCTCAAACGTTTTTGTAATTATTTGTTGATCACAGTGCGTCACACAATGACGTCCTTCTTGAAGTTCACAAGGATACTGAATGAATAAGTAATATCAAAGAGCTTGACAATCTATACAATCTATTATCTGAAATAACACTGTATTTCTATTACCTGTAATATTATTTAATTGTATTGTTACTTCCTTTTTCGAATTTTGTATGTCTGATACTTATCATTATATATTATTCATCTTTCGATAGCTATCAAAGCATCAGAGAAATCCAGTTTTTATGGAGCATCTCGTGTAAAACTATGTTATCTGTCATCTGGAAATAGTAAACGAGAGTACAAGTGTCAGGTCTGAGATTTCCATAGGGTCAGCCTTTCTGTATGCCAAGAACGATTGCTGTTGTAGGTTCAATTTCAATAATGAAGATATTTTTCATAAATATATTCTATGCGGACAACACATTATATGTTAAACCAAATTGAAAGATAAAACTCACTTTGAACATATAGACGATGCATATATTTCGCATTCAGTTAGCTCCAAGTCCCATAGTACAAACATATCATCGTCAAAGACCCGAGCCGCTTCAGGAGGCTAAAGAATAAACCAGTCTGGCCCACACAAACCAGTGACTGATATTTCTCTTCTCCATTAATCTATGTTTGAAGATAGTCGCTGGAACTTAAAGTGCTGGCCTTTTCAGTTTCATCTTCATACAGGCTTGGTAATATCTTCAGTTCATACTTGTCGTACAGGCATGTCGGCAACAATTGCACATCCTCTCAGAACCATACTTAGCTCAAGCCATCTGACTTTAAATGCAACATAGTCTCTGAAATGCACTGACCTCTTAAACAGCGTGTTTACAGTCACCACACACATTACAATAAACATGGATTGACATAAACACCCGAGTGCTACACTGAATGCTCCGCGTAATGTGAACTGTATGTTTCTGGACATTTTGACTCACAAAATTACTCCTTATTTATATAATATGATTTACAAATGTGCGAAAAAGTTCACTTGAACTTGCTTCTCATTATCTAATCCTGATTCACACTGGATGTGGAAGGTGATGCGGGTCGTGGACGTTTACCACTCTGGTGAAACCCGGTCGTTGTGTACAGTTAAAAGGGCCATCTGGAAGGCCATAACGTTATTTTGTTAGAAACCATGAACATTCACTTACCAATGTATTTATATTATCGCAATTATAAAAAAAAAAAATTCTTGTATTGAAGAAGGAACATTCTGGACAACTAGCTGCTGCATCTGACAAAACAAAATACCTTCATTGGCTCCAAGAAGAGAAAAAGAAAAAAGACACAGACATTTCATCTTAAAGGTTTATTGTTCTCAAATTGAAAATATACCATAACAAAATGAATAACTGACAAATAGGAATCTGAATAAAGCAAAGAAAATCCTTGATGGCATACCATACTACCGACATATTTAATTTGAAGCAATCTCCATATTTACAAATATTTAACATTTTCAAGACTTACTTGTGTCAACACACTGTGATAATAGAAGATATATATACAGAATTCTTTCATGCTATAACAGTGTTTTATTTTCTTATTTATTGTTCACGTATTTTGTTTTAAATTCTTTAGGGATGATTTTCACAATTTTCCTTTTCACGATTTCTTGAATAACAAATGATTAAAGTATACACTCTGGTTCGTACATCTCTTTTGAATGTGTTGCAATATATACATGTAAGTTAAACAAGATTGACAAGTCCAGAAGAATATAATACTTTAGGGTGACTTCTTAACAAGAAACAACTGATTTCTAAATAGTAGTGTTTGAACTCGACCGAGTTCTTAATTAAATCCATAAAAGCACAATTGGATGTCCAACTTATCGTACTGCTTCAGTTTTAGATTAAACATGCAGAAATCAAATCCATCAAAACGATGGAGTGAAGGGCGTACTCTTCAGTGTCCCGTCCACCTGGTTCTATGGATGTTTGTCCATCACAACACGTTTGGTTGTCATGATCATCTGACAACCATGTGAGTTCGAGTGCTCTTACGCATTACCACGTTGATACAATATAGTAACAAAAAGTATAAAATAATATGTCAACAAGCAACAAACGTGTACAAGCTACACACGCTTAAAAAAAAACATCTTAAAGGCATCAGTAGGTCCACGGAACCCAATGACAGACGCAATAACCGATAGATCTGAACATGAAGGCCGGGTTCAGGGTTTATCACTTGGCTGTATTTGTGTACTCGTACCCAACCTCATCAACAAGCACTGGTTGTCTGGTACAGACGCGTTTAGTTACAGGCAAATGGAAAACAGTTTGAATATTGCTGACTGCAGTACAAAACAACAAGCAAAGAACAATCTTGAAAACATACAACTTATACCAGTGCATAAAAGATAAAAAAAACTAGATCAAGATGACTATTTGTAAAATTGAAGGCAAATATATATGTTAAGGATTAGGTCACATGGTCGTTACAAAGGTCTACACCATTGTTTGGGTGAGAAGTGTTGTATTGAGACTGGCCAGGCTGGCATGGCCGCATAAAGTTAGACTCTCAACTTCCTAATATTGCTGATGCTTTGAACAAAAAATAAGAATTTCCAAAACCTCCTTTACAGTCTGCTCTACGAGATTACCTTGGCCATAATCTGGGACTTTGGACAGTGCGTGCTTGCTGACCAGTTTGAATAGGTGAGATTCTATTCTTATCAAATTGTCAAAAGATTTATGAAGAAACTCTGTCATGTCACAGAAGAGTCAAAAGTGTTTGTTTCTTACACACAAGGCGAACAATGGTCCACTCAGAGTTTACATTTGAAAAACTACTACTAAATCATACAAACACTTAATGGACAAGGTGGCATAAGGGATTGTATAAATGTAACAATTAACAACAACGCATTTTACTTACATAGTCCATGTGACAATGTACATCATTAACATTTATGACCATGCATATATGTAAAAGCGACAAAACCATTTCCATAAAATTATTCATAATATATATCTCTGATAAAAATGAAGTCGATTGTACAATTCCGACTGTATCATGAACATGTGTCTGTGGATCACTATCAAATAGTGATCATACGAGGTGTTCATGAAAAGGTGAAAGTATCCTACCCATTGTGTGACACCTGTCACAAGCACATGTTCATGCAAGTCAATTGTACACCAGAAAAACAACATGGAAACATATGGTACAAGTCAAAGTAGGGACGTGCATAGGACATATTTGTTGTCACGGATGCGTCATATTTGGAAATGTCGTCGACATGTCTACTATAAAACTTTTTGAAGGCTTTACTGAAACCTTGAATCTTTTAACCTTGATCAAAAAGCATTTGAACAAGAGTCTTTGAAATATTGGTAGAAAGGGCATGCTCGATTGTGTCTCAAAAGGGGTGAAATGTAGACAGCAAAGGCTGGAGCTGCTGTAATATTGCTCGACATAAAGTTCAAGTTGACTATTGGAAAGTAACCCCTCTTGTCATACAGTCATGTAGAGATATTTCTTGTCATAATGAATCTTTATGTATAGATCTCAATATGAAACAGATGAGATGGTCTCGCTGGTCTCCTTTATTGCTAGTTCAGTGGAAGGGGCTGTATGCTACGTCTATTTGTTAAAGTAACAAGACCGTATAAATCTCCCTCATGTAAACTGACAGGCTTTCCTCATTCTACTCGATTCCTTTCTTCGGCTTCTGCACTTGACTGTACACATCCTCTACATCTGTAACAACAACCAAGGGTCCAAACAGACACTCCAAACACCACACATGAAATAAAAAGGATATACTACGGCCTGTAAATGATAAACTATAGTCCAAACAAATCAGTAATTGTTATTATGCTCAACATCCTGTGTTACCTAAACCTTAAAAGTATATTCACTCAGTCACTTCTTAAGCATCATATAGGTTCCTAGAGACATACTTATTCTAACCCGAGATGACCACATGATACACATAGAAACACTATGTCGGCACAGAGTAAAATGAAGACCACACAGTGTAGCAATCCAATGTGGGTTCCATTTCCACCGTGGCAGACACGTGAGACCCGTCAAGGTCCGGGGTAGAATAGGTCTTCAACAACGCATGCTTGCCGTAAAAGGCGAGTATGCTTGTCGTTAAAGGCGACTAACGGGATCGGGTGGTCAGACTCGCTGACTTGGTTGATGCATATCATCGTAACCCAATAAGGTTGGATCGATGCTCATTATGTCAGTCATTGAATTGTCTGGTCCAGAATCGATTATTTTACAGACCGCCGTCATGTAGCTGGAATATTGCTGAGTGCGGCATTAAACAACAAACAAACATGACAGAGTGAGTTGGGCTTAAAACCCATTTGAACTGTATTTCAATTGTATCAGTTCAATGTAGGAGGAAAGTTCGGAATAACGTTATCTTAGACGACTTTGGTGACCATTATTAGCACTGGTATGGTGCTGACAAACCTCGAAACATAAGCAGGCTAAACTACGATACCATTTTTCAGACACGGTGAAGGGACTCTTCACTTTAACGACACCGCCTCTCTTGCCCCAACAACTAATAAGAGGAGACTTACCCTCGACTGTTGACTTCTTGGGTTTGTCAGGTACGGCATAGATATCCCCATTGTCCACTCCAGGCTGATTGGTGTTCCTGTTCTCTGTGTCAAGTTGATTCTTCAACACACTCGCATCTTCCTTCTCTGTAGACAGGTGCAACACGTTTAAAAAGATTATAAATCATCTAAACTAGATATTAATTTTTGATATTAATCTATGACCATTGGCTTATAGATTGAAAGGACCTCATTAAAACTGGTTGGCAAAGGAAGCAGATGCTGTAACTAAATGTACTGTTATCTACCACCGTAAACAGTCTACACAGACTATATTTTGACTTATCTACCACTGTAAACAGTCTACACAGACTATATTTTGACTTATCTACCACTGTAAACAGTCTACACAGACTATATTTTGAATTTTGGCTTATTTTTATGTCCTCTCGTTCATGATACATATTCACGTTCATATACACGCGCATGACACATGTTGATAAAGCCCTCTCGTTCGTAATACATATTAATTCTGCACTGAATGTTATCATCGGCTATAATGTGGAAGGTTGAGCTGTAGACAACTTTGATGAAAGCCACAAGCTCAAAGTGTCAGTACGCCAGAGTGAGTGGGTCAGGTTTTAACGCCGCTTTTAACATAACACCCGTGCCCCCCAGTATGCCAGAAGTAGAAATATTCATTATAGATATATCCGACACAAATATCATTCAACCATTCTCACCAAGAGGTTATCATTCCGATATCTGCATAACATCAATGTGTTCGTACCATGTTTAACACGCTCACTTTGTCAAATGTAAATGAAAATAAAGACCTACCATGAGAGGCAGATGCAGGTTCACGACAGGGTATTTGTGCGTAGTCATCATTGCCTGCGCCACAGCTGCCGTACATGACATCTCCCTCCATCACTGTAACAATAGGCAATAATAAGACTTATTATAGCGTAGTGTGAATGAGGAGGGACACGTGGACGCGTGTACACCTTCCACTGTCCATTAGTGAAAGAAAGAAAGATAACGAAGTGGGATTGATGTATGAGGTACTTATCATGAACAGATAGATTCCTGCTGTGGACTTTTAAAGGCGCCATCCTTACTTGCCAGATACACTGGCAATTCGAGTTTGAGATTGCCAAACCGAGAACTTTTCTTTTCTTTTCTCAACTGATGCATTTACATGTCACCATGTTTGTTTGTGCGGAAGTAAAGAGACTACGCCTACATGTTAGATTCAAGTAGGTTTTCCTACTTTACAGGAATTATGATCTAATGACCCTACTTACGTATAGAAAATGTCCCAACTTCAAATATATATTACTTAACAAAGATTAAAAATGGGCGCTAGGCACTGGAACAATGTTCTCCCCCGAATGCATGAACGAGGGAGGTTGGTTTTACACCGCTTTAAGCAATATTCCAGCAATATCATGGCGGGGGACACCAGAAATGGGTTTCACATTGTACCCACGTAGGGAGTCCCCCTCCCCCCATTACATTAAGTTCATGTGTAGTACTCACCAACAGCCCCTTCAACATTTGCTCCTGGGTCTCTGCAGACATACAATGATGATAGAGTGAAATACCATGCCACTAAACTAATGAGTTGAGTGTTATCAATATCATGAACACGATATACATGTTTCTTTGCGAAGATGTACGACATGGAATGCTTGGGAGGAATCAAAGTTGATAGCAGAAATATCAGAAACAATGCAGTATGGAATAATAAACTGCCCACCTTAAAGTTCAGGATACATGTTTCTGCATTCGATTGTCAAAGTAGCACTTTTGGCGTGTTCAGGTTGTTTGTATATGTACAGTGACAGTGATAAATATAATCTAAGCTAACCAACTACTTATCTAACCACATTTGCTCAGTTATACTCAAAAATAATATGTTTGTTTGTACATACAACTGCCCTCATGATCTTTACAAATGTCTAATGTTTACCTTTATTGCCTATTTAACCTTGCTGAATAAACAATAAACAAGAGTAAAGGGACATACGTTGCTTCAGGATATCGTGATGTATGAAGCAATGGTTCACGAAGTGTGTATACGGATCAGTGAGAGAAAATGTCACTTCCTTTTAAGTAGCATAAGAACATTCCATTGAAGCTATTTTATCTATTTTTTCTTGACACGAGGCATATATGTATTACATTATGTTACCTGTTGGAATCTGTTGTTGATGCCCGTCCATCTATAAAGAAACAGACGAAGGTACTGAGTTGTTAATGTTACCACTTGTCAGTTAAACATTACTCCTATGTGATAAACAGATGTCCACATATGTTTGACCGAGAATATGAATGTATGAAAGATGGTTTCAAGGTACGATCTAAAACCGAATTTTTCAAAAGTTTTAATAACACATTGTAGTATAACGTGAAATACTTCACTAATAACATTTACCATTAGGCTTGTTCACCTCCCTCTTGGATCTGTAAAGAACGCAGCCAGTGATCACGAGAGCCAATAAGACGAACGCACCGCCTGCAGCTCCGCCAATCAGAGGAACCAATGTGTTTATGGATGCCGATTCCTTATCTGTTCTTTCTGTTGTATATTCTGTCGTGCCTTTTGTTGACTTTGATGTGAATGTGACATCTTTCACCGTAGTTGCCGTGGGTGAACTGATTCTTTGTGAAGTAGATTCTAATGTTCCGACAACCAAGATGATCAGACAGTATATATTGTGATTTTACAAACTTGGACATTCATGTAGTTATATTTAACCAGTTTTGCACAAATTGTGACAGTGATCCAATGAATAGAAGATGGATAATACAGCATTGTTTACATGGTATTATTATAACAAGAATCCACACTTACCGTTATGCCTGTCGACTTTGATTTCAACATATGGACTTTGCCACTTGTTATTTACTAGACAATACCATCTCTCTTCATTCTGTTTATCAATATTTTGTATCCTCACTCCATATGTTTTGTTGAAACATGATCCTTTTCCATCAAATCTGTTTTTGGTGAACACATCACTGTGACATTGGACAAACTGATAGTATGTTTTGTGTGTTCCGTTTGTTCTGTACCATAGAACAGCGACAATCTTCTCCCAGTCAATTTGGCAAACAAGCGTAACATTTGTACCCTCTTGGACATTTATTGTAGTACCAGTTTGTGGATGAGCAATGCGATCGATCCTCCGGCTTGGATTAAGCATGAAGGCTGAAAGACACAATGATCTTAGTTTCAATGGTTCATTACTTGGTGCTCCTACCATGTACGTGTATCGAGATCCTGCTCGATGCCAGAGAGGGTGTTACATATTACACTTAGACCATAACAACGTTATCCTTTGTTCTCCTTTGTGTAGTATTACACGTTCACGTTGCACATTTGAAAGGCGTGGCATGAAAAATGGCCGTAAAGACTTATGTTTTCTTGTGTTATTTTTTTTGTTAATGACTACTAACAAGTATGGCTGAAACCACGTGCGGTATTGTGACCACGTGACCAGTTGCAGGTGAAAACAAACTTTTGCCACTATAGTGCTGTGCATATGATTCTGATCGATTCACCTGCACAAAAACGGGTGTTATCTGAAGACAATACGTGGCCATTACTGATTAAATACATAATAAGGACCCACAATGATAACTGGTGAAAAATTTAAAAAAATTGGGATTGTGAAGTTTTTAATTTGGTTCAGTATATATGGGCACCATCAGGCCGATTATTGCAAAACTACAGGTTGTGTTAAAGGGAAATTCTACTGACATTACAAATTGATATGATAAAGAGACTGTATACCACAGCATTCTTATTCTCCAATAGTCTTTGTTGACATTTCTTGTTTGTTTCATTATTTTGCCACCACCGAAAATGTGTGTAAATTTTATTTTACCTGGCACGTAATGTACATGAATATAAATCGCATGTAATTGACATCTTGAACGTAAAAAAATCTTTCTGATGATAAATAATTATAATGTAAACATTCTATGCGTTAGTTATTTCCAGTTTTTCGAATATGCGAGTGTATTTCATGGACGTACACTTTGCATGAGTGCCTAAAATACGTAGTGTATCGCCTTTAGTTTGGTAAATATATTTACATGCATACTTACGTATACTGTTTGTTTCTTCCTCTTTGGCTTCTGATGCACTTGAAGCCATGACCAGCCAGCACAGAGCGTATGTTACTGGAAGACATGCCATGTTGCACTGATCGAGTACCGACACAAGCAATACATATTATATCTCTGTGTGTGGTATAGTACTTCCTCCTTGTGCAAGTGCCCAATAGCCTCCCTTACTGGTACTTGAATAACAATGCTTCATAATAGGCTTAAAATAAACAGCTCATTTAGCTATTGTTCTTGTCAGGGTAGAATAGGGAATATTTAATAGAAAGTAATTCAAAGCAGAGTATCGAATAAGGAAGAAACTATCGCTTAGTGTAATATTTCAAAACATTCGTCTGTGGTTAATTATTAATTTTGACTTTTGAAAAGTCTTTTATAAACGATCTCCGCGTAGTTAAATATTGCTCTTACGATCTTGGGAAAATATGCGCGTGTATTCTATGGACTTGAACATTACATGAATGTCTCAAATTAGTAGAGTTTCGCCTTTAGTTTGGTTATGAATACATTTACTTCCTACCAATAATATACAAGACCTAATAACGTTCATGTCATCAAACTCTCGAACAAACATAAACGAATGCACTGTTGTGTTTTCAATTGCTAACTGCAAAATATACATACGTGGACATTACTTATTACTACACCTACATGATCATAAAGAATTATCAGCTGGTAGCGATTATTTATGCTCTCATGTGCTGTTAAATATTTCGGTTCTCAGATCTTATATCTTCACGCAGCTCAACGGTCTGAATAATATTAAATGCAATGTGTTCTATTCAGAAATGTGAACATGTCTCAAATAGTTTCATGTGGGGATGAGAGAGGTGAGTTTATTTAGGATGGAAAGCCCAAAATGATGCATGACGTAGAAGAGATTAAGATGTCAGTCCAAGAATCATAATTGGAGCAAATATTGGATTCGAACCCACTAAAATATTACACCGTTAGGGTGTTGGCTCAGTGATGGACTCAAGTTATGCGTAGCATTGGTCATGGGTTTGAATTTGGCCGTCCACAAACGACCGAGTGTCAGAATACTTTTCTAGGAATGGCAGTACCTGGCTCTGGGATGATACTAGTATTTGTTGGCAACAACCTTGAGCCCCTCTCATCCAGAGAATGCACAGGTGATGGTCAGAATATGCATTCTCCATGTCACATCATTCATCCATTTCGATTGATTGTCCATTATGATTTAGTTCATGTGATCCATTTTGTTTTTTCTGTTCCTATAATTTCGCCATCAATGTCAACAAGATGTTTGACGTAAACGATACAGGTGTTAATCTCACATTAACAAAAGTAAAAGGAAATCGAAATAGGAACACTAAATCAACTTTTGTTACCAAATATTGGAAACCGTATCTGAATCTCCCCAACACGTTCTGGTGTCACATCTGTGGGACCAACTGTCAACTATTTTGGGCCCATCGGTTTCAAAGGAGGCGTTTATTTTGAAAAGAATTTCAATATTTCATTTCTGACACAAGGCTGGGTTACTGTCATTTTCATAAATCCTCAAGATGTCTATTTAAGGAATATTAGGGTACCCAAAACATCCACCTAAATCCACGTCATTACCAAAACAATTTTCTCAGGATTCAGACACTACTTTTTTTGCAAATTGACAGCCAAACTAACCAGGGAATGAGTTGATTTATTGTCAATGAAAATTCAGCCGATGTCTTGAAGTATATTATAAATGTAAAGAGTAGTTTCATTAAAAAAAGAAAAAAAAAAACTGTGTTGCTGGGTTGCTCTCCACTTACGCCATCACAAACACATGATGAGAATAACCAGAGCAATATGTCAGGAAAGATATCAGGCCTTTGGATGCCTACAACATGTATCTGTACACAGGACTGAAGTAATGTTATGAACACTTACACCATCACAAACACATGACGAGAATAACCAGAGCAATATGTCAGGATAGATATCAGGCCTTTGGATGCCTACAACATGTATCTGTACACAGGACTGAAGTAATGTTATGAACACTTACACCATCACAAACACATGACGAGAATAACCAGAGCAATATGTCAGGATAGATATCAGGCCTTTGGATGCCTACAACATGTATCTGTACACATGACTGAAGTAATGTTATGAACACTTACACCATCACAAACACATGACGAGAATAACCAGAGCAATATGTCAGGATAGATATCAGGCCTTTGGATGCCTACAACATGTATCTGTACACAGGACTGAAGTAATGTTATGAACACTTCCGCCATCACAAACACATGACGAGAATAACCAGAACAATATGTCAGGATAGATATCAGGCCTTTGGATGCCTACAACATGTATCTGTACACATGACTGAAGTAATGATATGAACACTTCCGCCATCACAAACACATGACGAGAATAACCAGAGCAATATGTCAGGATAGATATCAGGCCTTTGGATGCCTACAACATGTATCTGTACACAGGACTGAAGTAATGTTATGAACACTTACACCATCACAAACACATGACGAGAATAACCAGAGCAATATGTCAGGATAGATATCAGGCCTTTGGATGCCTACAACATGTATCTGTACACAGGACTGAAGTAATGTTATGAACACTTCCGCCATCACAAACACATGACGAGAATAACCAGAGCAATATGTCAGGAAAGATATCAGGCCTTTGGATGCCTACAACATGTATCTGTACACAGGACTGAAGTAATGTTATGAACACTTACACCATCACAAACACATGACGAGAATAACCAGAGAAATATGTCAGGATAGATATCAGGCCTTTGGATGCCTACAACATGTATCTGCACACAGGACTGAAGTAATGTTATGAACACTTACACCATCACAAACACATGACGAGAATAACCAGAGCAATATGTCAGGATAGATATCAGGCCTTTGGATGCCTACAACATGTATCTGTACACAGGACTGAAGTAATGTTATGAACACTTACGCCATCACAAACACATGACGAGAATAACCAGAGCAATATGTCAGGATAGATATCAGGCCTTTGGATGCCTTCAACATGTATCTGTACACAGGACTGAAGTAATGTTATGAACACTTACGCCATCACAAACACATGACGAGAATAACCAGAGCAATATGTCAGGAAAGATATCAGGCCTTTGGATGCCTACAACATGTATCTGTACACAGGACTGAAGTAATGATATGAACACTTACGCCATCACAAACATATGACGAGAATAACCAGAGCAATATGTCAGGATAGATATCAGGCCTTTGGATGCCTACAACATGTATCTGTACACAGGACTGAAGTAATGTTATGAACACTTCCGCCATCACAAACACATGATGAGAATAACCAGAGCAATATTTCAGGATAGATATCAGGCCTTTGGACACATAATTGGGCTTAACGTTTCATATGGATGGCTACGACCTGTATCTGATACGCTGTATGTTGCTAATTATGATGTATTCGTCCTGCTTGTTCAAATGTTAAATACGACCATTTCAAAGCAGCATATCTGTGTGGTAATTCTAGTTATCTTATAGGCACAAGACCATATATTAGTGACAGTTTCAAACACATTACTTCAATATGTAGTTTTTTTGTGGATGAAGGTATCAACGAATTCGACATAGATGGACACCTTTGAATGTCGCTTGTTGTTATCCTGTCGATATTTCAGATTCGTCTCGCTTCTGGTGTAGGTCTGGTACAAGGAACGCATATAACATTTCCGTCTTGTCATATCATTGACATCTGCAGTCTATATTTGACTTTCATAAGTGACACACCACGAGCTACTCGTATACTGCCCTGAGTACTTCCTGATTCTCAATAACTACACTTGTGATCTCATTGTGTATCATCGTGATGGCAATATCACAGGCCCCTTCAGTGTTGCATTGCTCTGGTGTACAACTGACTTTAAGTACAGCAGCCAAATACACATTAAACAGATCATACATCAAACATAGTATACAGTGAAAGTCCTTTATTCTGACTCATGCTTTCCGGTAACCCACTTTCTGAATTTTTACATTTTGTACATATAGTTACTTAGTTTGTTGTTTATAGCCGCACTATTCCAGCTATATG